GAGGGGGCGAGAGGGGGCGAGAGACAGCAGCTTTGCAAACCCAGAGACAGAACTACAAAGAACGCGACTGCGTAAATTTACGAGAGACTTGGGAAGTACTGTAACCTTAAAGGGCCAAATAGGATTAGGGATAGTGTGTTTACTATTAAAGATTATTATAATATTTTTCCTAACAAAGTGGGACTTGGTTGCTTTGGTACCGGCTTGTGCTTGTATTGATTTGACCGCTTTCGTATTGTGGGATACCTGGGCAAATTCATTCATAATATTCTGGTCAGAGTTGATTGTAACTTGTTTAAAGAGGAACCAGGCAACATTTGGCATCCCTGTTAAGAGGCTTTGGTTTGAAGTGATTTGCCAAGCAAGGTGTTCTACAGCCAGAGCGAGCAAAGCACGAGCTGGAAAACGGTAATGGGGTCTCGAGGGACTGTGATGAAATTAGCCTAGAAGGGGACAGATGTTTGCCTCTTGTATAGAAACCCTAGAGACATTTTAGACTCCTTGAACAAAGCAAGGGAGCTTTTATTTTAACTCCTGTTGTCCCTGTCCCAGAAGTGTTTGATGGGTTCAGTGTGACGGGAGGTTTACTTTATTTATTTTCAGTTCCAACGAGTAGAAGAAACTTTCCTCTAAATTTTAAACCTTTGTCTCTGTCCTCAGAATGTTCGATGGTAACTGACCATAGGAGAATTGAATTTAGTTTACTTTGAGTTTGAATGAGTAGAGGAAAGTTTAGTCTGTATTTGGACCCCTGATTGTCTTTACCCTAGGTGTGTTTGGTGGTGACAGAGTTGGGGGAAAGACATTTTTTAATTTTAAGTCAACGGAACTTTACTTTGAGTTCAAGGGAGTTGAGGGGATGAGTTCCAAAGAATCGAGGAAACTACTTTTAAGAGAAATTCAGTAAAGAATCCAGCAATAATACACTTGCTAGCAAAATAGGAGAAGTTTCCCCTTTTCTGATATGGGAGGACAATCTCGGACAATATCTTTTTAAAGAGTGGCCCAAATGGACAGAATTCTGTAGCAGCCCAGTCTGGCCCTGGACCATGGGTTCCATAGCCCAAGACATATGGCAAGAAACACATAACAAATTAGGAAAGAAGAGCACTAAGATAATCACAGCAATAGCAATAGCACGTAACCTAGAAGACTCCTGTAGACAACTGGGTGAGATCCGATTGCTGCGGGAGCGATTTGAAATCACTACTGATGAATTGGAAAAGTTAAAACTTGGAGTTAAACAGCAGGACACCAGAATACTGGAAAATCTGATTCATACAAGACAGTTGCAGTCACATTTGGAAACAGCCCATTCTAATGTGAGGAGGACCATTGAGGACCAACAGGCAGCCTCAGCATATATTGACAAACTGGAAGAACAGTGTAGGAAGCTCCAAGCAGCCATACAGGTTGTCCAAGCCTGCAATGCTCTAGTATGGAGCATTCAAAGTGCCAGGAAAAAATATAGCCCCTAGAGAATCAGATTTCTGCCCCGAATGGGATGATGTATGTCTTTGGGGTCCTCAGGAGAGAGATTACGAGACCCAGGGAGATAACGAGACCCACCCACTGACCCACCCACACCCAATCCCCTTCTGCTCCACAGATAGGGACCCCGCCACCCTTCTCCCAGGTGGCTGCTTCTCCAGAACCCACCCCCAACCCCAACCCATACTGTGACCCACAGACAGCACCACAGCCCATGAGTTCTGTGGTCACCCAGCATCAACAGCTGATGATCACACGACATATACCACACCTATTCCAGCCAGCCATCTGGCAGACACTGCCAAAAAAAGTGTTACTTTTTGATTCCACCTCAGACCCATATACAATTTTTTGATGAAATCTACCAACAGTCTGTCATACACCGATGGTCAGCAGCAAAACAAATTAATCACCATGTGCCTCAGTCCAGCAGTCCATTCAGCCCTCCCTGAGGACTGACAACTGGGGAGAGGGACCCTTGATGACACGAAAGCAGCAGTCCTTACTGCTGTAGTGCAGTATAGGGCAGACCCTCAGCACAAATGCCGACACCAACAAAGGGAACTCCCCACGTGCACTGCCCAGTGCTTCTGGGTCCAATTCGTCCGTGTTTTCGAGGACATGACCTGCACCTCTTTTACTGATGAGGAATGGAAGAACTGGATCCACACCCTGTCTTCCATGACTCAGAAAGGGGGAGGGATACATGCCTGGGATTCAACCCCTCAAGCTTCCTGTAACGTTGCTTGGGTCCTCCGCAAATTAATTGCTGCATGGGAGAGGGAGTTGAGGACACAACAGCCATCTGGAAAGACAGTCTGCATAAGTGCAGATCACATTTCTTATCGCCCCGGACCAACTTGGAAGAATGAAAGAAGGGGCAGGGATACACCAAGGAGTCCCAGGCAGACTTCCCCTCCATACAAGTGCCCTGACCCCAGAAGAGGGGAACTCCCATAAATGAACCATTCTAGAGGTGATTAATCAGATCATCCAAGGCAAACTAGGGATGCCAGTGAGCATCAAAACTGCACCCTGTGCAGCAAATACGTAAACTGGATGATTAAATATCTGAGGGAGGACCTCAGGCAGACTAGCCAAGACAAAGTCCTGACCTGGTTCATTAATGGATGCTGTATACCTTTATGAACGGTTTGAACATTTGTTCCTTGAAAGAACTCACACCAACATCTCTAGCTGTCAGTTGCAGCAGCTCAAAGTGTGGTGTAATGACAACACTGTAAGGACACCCTTGGCAAGGCGCTGGGCCTGGTGCTAGGAATTCCAATTATCCCAAGTGACAAAGTTGGGTTCAGAACCTTTGAAGTCAAAAATATTGGAATTATTTAAAAAAAGGTATTTGGATGGGTTACCATGACACCCTCCCATATGCTGTGGAGAGATAGGGGACATTGACAGACCACTTTTAAGTAAATACAAACAAACAGGCCATACCACTATACCCATAGCCTGTCATCCATGAATTCAGCTCCTCTCATATCTAGTTGTGGTCATGATTGCACTCGCTTTGATATATCTCAAGATATTGGCGGTTAAGACTGCAGGCTGGAAAAGGCAGATATCCCAAGAGATCAGCCACTCATTCTGAACAATAGTGTACATGCATACAGGGGCTTTAAGGTCGATGGAAGTCCCAGGGTTAGCGCCACTGTCACTTCCATTTGTTCTGATTACTGAATGTTGTCTATGCACTACAGAAGGACAGAGACAGCAGATATAAGGGAGTACCACCACTTCCAAATCCTTCCACTCCCCCCAGTCGTCATCCCCAAAGTCACTCAATATCCCAACTTGGAACTATAGCCCTGCTCCTTCACTACTGCTGGGGCAAAATCCTTGATCTCCCTCGCTACCAGCATTGTAATTGTACCAACACCAAATGGACTGCAGTGGTTCAAGAAGGCAACTCTCCACTCCCTTCTCAAGTGCAATTAAGGATGTACAATAATTGGTGGTCCAGTCAGCAAACACCATATCACCTGAATGAATTTTATTAAAAAATTAATTCAAGATGTTCGGACTGCTTATCCCACCATTTACCTTCTTACGTTCTTTCTGCTCACGGTGTTTGCGGACAAGCTGGCTTCCTTTCCGGGAGATGATTGCCATATCTGATGTGGCATCTTTCACAGGAATCACTGGCTCTGGCTGTCAGCACAAAAATTAAACATTAAAAATTCAGTAATGTATAGAATTATACAACAAATTCACTTATTTATTCTACTATGTGCCCAAAATGTCATCCAATATGCCCCATTCCCTTGTCCTTCCCCATATGTTTCCCCTTCAAGTACATTATTAATTCCTTTTTGCAGGTTTTATTAAATCCATTTCCACCAACATATGAGGCACTACGTTCCAGATTATGCTAACATGTGTTCTTTAAAAATTGTCCTCTGGTTCTTTTGCTGATCACTTTAAATCTGTGTCTTCAGCTTACCAACCCTTTTGCCATAGGAAATAGTTTTGATTCTAATCAAAATCCTTCCTGATGTTGAACAAACCTATTAAATCTTTCCTTAGGCTTCATTCTAAAGGGAGCAACTCCAACTTTGCAATTTGCATATATAGAGTTTCACATTCTCCAGTACCACGTTGTCAAATTTCCTCTACACCCTTCTTAAAGTGAAGTGCCCAGAATTGGATCCATTACTCTAGCTGAGGCCAAACCAGTAATAAAGAAGGTTTTAACACAGCTCCTCATTTGCTTTTGTTTATAAATCTACAGATTCCATATGCTTTTTAACAGCCTTTTCAACTTGTACCTACACCCACAGGCCTCTCCATCCTCATTAAAAGTGCACCACAGCATCTAATGTTAGTATTATTTCCAGTCTATGCTCCCACCAAGAAATATCAAAACTGATGATCACTTTACAGTCTAAAATATTTGACTATTTAAAAACTGAAAGAACTGCGGATGCTGTAAATCAGGAACAAAAATAAAGTTGCTGGAACAGCTCAGCAGGTCTGGCAGCATCTGTGAAGGAGGAAGGGTCACCGGACCCGAAATGTTAACTCTGTTTTCTCCTTCACAGATGCTGCCAGATCTGCTGAGCTTTTCCAGCAACATTGTTTTTATATTTGACTATTGTTTACTTCAATTAAAAGCATGCCAAAAAACAAAAAACATGCTGTCAGTAGTTACAAACCAACCTACCTGTTTGGTAAACACAATTCGTCCATCCAAGAATGGTGGAACTAAGTTGTGCACCAACAAATGAACTCGAGTGGCATTGTCCTCTTCAAAGTCTTCATCAACTTCCAGACGTTGAACCACACCACTGGTTAGCATTCGATTCGTCTCCCATCGTTCATTATCCTATAAACCAATAATTTAACAAGCATAATCAACTATTTCTCTGAAGTGCTCTGTAATCAAAGTACGAACAATCAGGAATATTATCCAAAACTCAACTGGTAAAGGTGCGAATGACATTGTGGAAAATTGCCCAGCTACGTCCTGTACACAAAAAGCAGGACAAATCCAACCTAGCCAATTGCCACTCCATCAGTCCACTCTCGATCGTTGGTAACATGATGGAAGATGTCATCAATAGTACTACCGGCTCACTGACACCCAGTTTGGGTTCACCAAGGCTACGGAGCTCCTGATCTCACTACAGTCTTGGTTTAAACATGGGTAACAGAGCTGACTTCTAGAGGTGAGGTGAGAGTGACAGCCCTTGACATTAAGGCCACATTCAACCGAGTGCGACATCAAAGAGCCCTAGCTAAACTAGAATCAATGGGAATTGACAAAAATTCTTCACTGGTTGGAGTCATACCTGGCACATAAGATGATGATTGTGGAGGTCAGTCATCTCAGCTCCAGAACATCCCTGCAGGAGTTCCTCAGGGTAGTATCCTAGGCCCAACATCTTCAGCTGCTTCACCAATTCCTCCATCATAAGGTCAGAAGTCGCTAACGATTGCATAATGTGCAGCACCAATTGTAACTCCTCATTACTGAACCAGTCAACGTTCAAATGCAACAAAAACTGGACAATATCCAGGCTTGGACTAATAAATGGCAAGTAATATTCATGTCACACAAATGTTGGGCAATGACCATCTTCAATATGAGACAATCTAACTAATGCTGCTTGACATTCAACAGTGTTACCATCACTGAGTCCCCCACTATCAACATCCTTGGGGTTACCATGAACCAGAAACTCAACTGGACTCACTATACAAATACAGGAGCTACAAGAGCAAGACAGAGGCCACAGTATTCTTCATGAGTAACTCACCTTCTGACTCCTGAAAGCCTGTCCACTCTCCACAAGCACAAGTCAGGAGTGTGATGGAATATTCCCCACCTGCCTGAATGGGTGCAGCTGCAAGCACACTCAAGAAGCTTGAAACCATCCAGGACAAAGAAGCTTGTTTAACTGGCACCATATCCACAATCAATCCTCCCTCCACTACTGATGCTCAGTAGCAATGTTTACTATCTACAAGATGCGCTGTAGAAACGCTCCAAAGATCCTTAGACAGCACCTTCCAAACTCACGGCCACTTCCATCTAGAAGGATAAGGGCTGCGGATACATGAAAACAGCACCACCTAAAAGTTCCCCTCCAAGCCACTCACCGCTCCGCCTTGGAAATATATCATTTTTTGCTCAGGTTGCTAGGTTAAAATTCTGGAATTCCTTCCCTAAGGATATTATGGGTCTACTACAACACATGGACTGCAGCTCACCATCACAGTCTCAAGGGCAACTAGTGACGGGCAATAAATGTTGTTCAACTCGTGACGCTCCCCTCCCACAAGTGAATAAATGAAAAGGACACAACTACATTGCTGTTTAAATTAATTGCATCGTTACAGGAAACAGTATCTCAGAAGATTTGGTCCGAGAAGCCAGGGATTCCAAGTTCAAATGCAGTTCCTCTATCATTGCTAATTCAATAAAATGCAATGATCAAATGTGGTATCTAGCATATGCTCAGCTGCTCCATAATTTAACTGTGTTGAATCATTTGTCGTGCAAAATTATTTTAAGTTGTTAAGGATTTACATTAAACAAAATTTTAAAAACAGATAGAACGTTACCAAGGAAAAGTTACCTCCTCAGGGGTGGCGATGGCTTCGTCATATTATTGCTGGACTGTTAATTCAGAGACCCAGATAGTGTTCTGGGGTCCTAGGCTCGAATCCCACCATGGCAGATGGTGGAATTTGAATTGAATAAACATTTGGAATTAAGAATCTAATGATGACCGTGAATCCATTTTCGATTGTCGGAAAAACCCATCTGGTTCACTAATGTCCTTTAGGGAAGGAAACTGCCAGCCTTACCAGGTCTGACCTAGATATGACTCCAGACCCAGAGCAATGTAGTTGACTCTTAATTGCCCTCTGAGCAATTAGGGATGGGCAATAAATGCTGCCTGGCCAGTGATGCCCTCATTCTGTGAATGAACTTAAAAAAAATCAGATGTGTATCAAATGATAGCATTTTGTTTGAATTTAGACCCAAGCTTTGTACCACTTGAACCAGCTAAGCAGTTAAGTAACAAACCTATTCATGATTCCTTAGAATTTGCCATTGCATTTGACAGAAAAAATGCCTGGTTTGTTTTAACAGAAGGATTGAACAATAAAGATGCTCTCAATTTTTCATTATTTTAGTTTCAGATTTCTATTACAAGAAGACAGAAATAATCAATTTTGAATTTTTAGAATAAAAATTTACACTAATTGAAATCAACAAAAAGGAACCTCTTTGAATAACAATGAAAATTCGTTATTTCTTATTTTTGGAGTGGAACTATTTTACATTCTATCACTGTTGCTATACGTTTCAGATTATTGTACTACTTTGATTTGCTTTACCAGGAAAGCCATTCCTGGAATGGATATCAAACTAGTCCTTCCTGTCAGCATTAGTTGGCTCTACTAACCTGGACTGAACTTTTTGAATTTGTACTTGTAAGCAACACAGCAAGTACCCACACATAGTGTATAATGAAAATGTAGTAAAGATTTAAGGTAATTTTCAGAATGGAAACATGACACGTAGCAGTTGCCACAGATCAGTACTGTTCCTAATACTCCAAACTATGTATGTCCACGCGCCATTTCCTTGAACTGGGGCTTATTTAGCACACAGGGCAGGCTCTTGACATTAACAGCATTGTACAGAGGAACTCTACCATTGCTAAGCAGCAACCTTCAGCAGCACTGCAGTGAGACAACCATTACAGTGCTATGGAAAGGGACAACTCCTAGTGAAAGTAGGAGGTGCATTGACAAGAATTTCTTCAAATTTTGTAATGAACATGGGAATGAGCCACCACGAAGGCAAAGGTAGGGGAGTAGTGGGCAAATATCAGGCCATGTTTCTCCATTAGGACCTTCAACGCTCTTTCAGCTTTCATCATATCAAGTATCAAATTGGGAATACCACCACCTCCAAAATATGCACCAACCTCAATCACATTCACAAATATATTGCCACTCCTTTCTTCATTGGCACTAAGTCAAAATCCTGGAACTCCCAAAGTAATAGCACTGTGGGAGTACCTTCACAAGATTTACAGCAGTCAGAGGATCTACTAACCCCTTCACAAGTGTTATGAGGGTGGGCTATTAATCCTGACCATTTGCAAAGACATTTTTTTGTTTAAAGTTCCTTCTGAATATTGCAGCACTGTTGTAGAAATCAAAGCAAATTGATTAGATTCCCAAATTCTAGGCCTTGCAAATAGTTAAGGGTGTCTTGTTTCACTCTGCCTCCTCCACCACTGTATTGTCTGAGTACAGGTAATAGAAAATGAAGCCTAGATATCCAGTACTTAATTTCCCAAAATATAACTGCAATTAGTTAAGTTTACTCCCAAGCATTATGAAATCTGGAAATTGATTCTGTGCCTAAACAATTAAGGAATTAAATAGATATTGCCCTGATTTTAAATTACGAACAGAAACCAAAAAGGTGCATCCAAGGAAACCTGCATCAATGTGTTCCCTTGTATTACAGAGCTCTTATTCAAAGAAAAAAAATTACTTTATTTGGGGCTGAGTTCAGTAAACAAAAGAGCTATTTTGCTCTGAGAAAATGACCAGCACCAGTTAAAACACTTGTTAACGAAAAATAAATTATCCTTTGAGAACTATCAACAATTTACTGACAAACACAACTTCAGCTGTAAAGTTCACCTGAGATACAGCAAGTGAGAGTAGTGAGCAACGTATTAAATCCCCTTCAAATCCTACTTAAGCTATCTGAGCTTTTTGTTTTTTTTATTTGTTCACAGGATGAGGGTGTCGTTGGTCAGGCAAGCATTTATTGTCCATCCCTATGTTAAGGGTTAACATTTAAGAGTCAACCACATTGCTGTGGGTCTGGAGTCACATGTAGGTCAGACCAGGTAAGGATGGCAGTTTCCTTCCCGAAAGGATATTAGTGAGCCAGATTGGCTTTTCCCCCAACAGTCGACACAATGGAGTCATGGTCATCACTAGATTCTTAATTCCAGATATTTATTGAATTCAATTTCCACCAGCTGCCATGGCGGGATTTGAACCCAGGTCCCCAGCACATTATCAGGGTCTCTGGGTTAACAGACCAGCGATAATACCACAAGGCCATCGCCACCCCTATATGTCACTTATGTAACCTAGCATATCCTGAAATGGTTGTTGAATAGATTTAACCTAAACTGTTACCTTCTGGGATGCTTTCATCAAATTCAGAGGGTGAAGAAAAAAATAAATCTCAACATACCTCATTAATTTGCCTCTTCTGAGCAGAAATCCTCTTCTGTGTCTGTTTCTGCAGCAATTGCTCCCGTTTCTTCACATATTCCTCTGAAGTGTATGCCAGAGGATTGTGAAAATCATCATGTCCTTCATCCAACATGTACCAATCTCGATCTGCTTGCTGTAAGATACAAAGCAAAACAAGTTACAACAAATAAAGTTATGACAGCTTTTCATGGAACATCATGTCCAATTTTACCTGTCACACAGCAACCCGAATAATTAGCATCTCTGACAATCATCAGGCATCCCAATGTGCTTGAAAGTCAAACACAAAGTTAAATGTGTGGCTCAAAGGTAAGTGTGAATGGAATGGATTCAGTTTGTGGCGCACTGGTTCGAGTACTGGGATAGAAGGAAGCTGGTCTGGTGGGATGGACTATATTTGAACCATGCTTGGACAAGTGTCCTAGCAAATCAAATAACTATGGAAAGCTTTTAAAAGAAACAAAAGATGAGCAAAAAATAATAAAAAGGGAAATAATAAACTTTGAGAATAAACTTGCAAGTAGTATCCAGATGGACAGCAAGCGCTTCTTTAAATAGATAAGAAAAAAGCAAGGGTAGCCAAAGTTAATATTGAGCCCTTAAGTGAGGTTGGGGAAATAATGGTGGGGAGCCAGGAAATTGCAGAGGAGTTGAATATTTTGCACCAGATCTTGTAAAAGGCAACAACAACATTACAAACTTACAAAATAATCACTGGGCAAAAGGAGGGGAGGAAATAAATACAACAACTATCATTAGAAAAAAAGTACTTGGAAAACTAATGGGACTAAAGACCAAGAAGCCCTCTGGACCTAAAAGAATCCTAATATATTAAAAGCAGTTACGGAAGTAGTGGACAAGCTGGTAGTAATCATCAAAGATAGTAGGTACTGCAGATGCTGGAGAATCTGAGATAACAAGGTGTAGAGCTGGACGAACACAGCAGGCCAAGCAGCATCAGAGGAGCAGGAAGGCTGACGTTTCGAGCCTAGACCCT